GTTAGGACTTTCAGACAGTAGGCGGTGGAAGAGACGGTCCATGGGCCCAGGAAACTCCTAATTCCTAAAAGCCATACTTTACAACTGTACAGATCTCCAGGGGAAAAAAAACAAGATCAGTCATTGTAATTATACCTCATCAGCCTGGTATGTAAATACTGGGTTTGGGGAAGGGGTGAAAAGTTGACTGACTGAAAGAAAATGGATTGAAATCCATGCTGTTCTGGATTTTGGGACACCTGACTCCACGTGCCAGTTGGGGACTTAATTCTTTTCCCTGTTACACCAGTTTAGTTCCAGAATGATACCAGCAGAGTCATTCCAAATTGATATGGGCATAGATGAGGCCAAGAGCCCCCTGCTCTTCGAGGGTCATCTGCAATCAAGAAACATTATGGTCCTTGCCACCGTAAGCATCGGTGTGGGAAAAGTGCGAAGCTGCATTGTGAGTCAGGGAGCTCAGGACCGCAGTCCTTGTCTCCGAGAGTTTGGCACATTCGTTGGTGCAGAGATGCCTTTGGGGGGAAGCACCCCAGTGTCAACACCCCAGTCAAGATCATTTCTTCAGCTAAACGCCCTACCTGAAAGCAGAGAGGCTGGGACACAGGGGGGAGGCAACGTGTTTTACCTGGGCTTTGGTGTTAAACCTAGATTCGTCTTCCAGAGAAGAAACATTGCTTCTCAGTCTCCTTGCTTCTGATACCACATGGATTTCCGTAGGCCATTTATGAAACCGAGCTGAACTTGTGCGGACAGAATAAAATTAGCTTCACAAAGACACATATCGGCCTTTCCAGGTTTGAGAGATTCCCTTAAAATATTTCATATTTCCTGCAGAAACCCTTGTTTAAAAACACTGTGGTGAAGGTGGAAGGAATGGAGACAAAATAATCCCACCAAACGCCTTTAATCCCTGCCACGGAGCCAAGCGATGTTCACTCCTAAGCTTTGGAACTTCACTTTGCTTTTTAAAAACCACTAGCAGTCTTTTATTAATCAGGAGGTGCATCTCTCTCTGAAGGTATTTCCATCAGACTGGAGCAGAGATTTGGTTTTAATCCCTTCGCTCGCACAGCCCCGTGACACAGACACCACCCCAACTCATTGCTTCTGAGCTGAATGGGAACCAAGCGGGATATTGAGAAAGAAGTAAATCTGCTGATTAGTTAATATACAAAACATTTTTTTCTCCAGTAACACCTTCCTGGAGAAAAAATATAACTGCTTCCTAGGGAAAGAAAAAAAAAAAAATCAGGTGTTTTGTCTCCTGGGCTTTTTACAATGCTGCTGCATATATATCTCTGATTTTAACAACTAAGTTCAACTTAATGCCCTGAAATTCTGCAACAGCCTAGAATTTCTTTACTGCTCTTTTTTAAACCCTAAACATGGTCATATTCTCATTTATTGCTCCTTATGAGAGGGCCACAGAGCAATATAGGTCCCAGTTGAATAGAAATTATCTGCAGTCTAATGTTAGCATTGAACCTTGTACCTCTAGACCTTGAGAAAATAATTTAATTTTAATTGTTCCATACTTACTAATAATTGTTTAATAGCTTAATCACTGAAATAGAGAGTCACTAATTAACAGGAGGGGTTTGATGTCTCAGTGGTATAAAAAGGGTGTAAACAGTTCCAGGCTGAAGATAAAGGAATTATTCTAAAGGCAAATTCCAGTTGTGGTGTAATTCAGGAGTCACTGAAATGAACTGATTGGTGCAAGTGGCATCAGAATTTGACCTCATTTCTGTATAGAGTTTTGGAATCTAAATTCATGATCCTCAAACATATCTAAAAGCCTAACACATCCAGGTATGCCTCAATCTTATTTTGCAGAAAATTAATGCAGTTGCCTTCACTGGAGCCATTCCTGTCTTACACCAGAGTTAAGGGGGTCAGACTGATGCTTTGTGAGCGACAGCAGCAGTTCTGAGCACTGCATCGTGTATTCTGCACGGATTCAGGACAACGCAGTCTGGGGTTGCAGTGAGGTCCTTGAAGTCTGTTTTATTGATGAGTTGGATGAAAAACAGAGTAGAGGAGGCCAAGTTATTGAGCCAAATTCCTGCACTAAGCCACTTAAACGAGGACCTGATCCGAGTGTCATCGTTCACTTGATTGCTCATATCCCCAGAGTGAAAAGCTCTGATTTCACCACTGACTCCTCTGTTCTCCTGAAATACGAGGCCAACGCAGGTGGGCTGGCAGCTCTGCACCGCCTGCATCGCTGATATTGCCATGCCTGTCACAGCAGGTATATTCAGCAGATTCATTTAATCTCTCAAACACCCTTGACAGCATAATGGCAATGTGGCTGCATGTTCGGTGATGAAATAATTGCAAGTAGGGTGCCTGGGGGCACTGTTCCCGGCATGCTAATGTAGTCAACAGTTTTTGAAGGAGCCCCTCAGTTTCAGTTACATCCTATCTTCAGGCTCCTGTGCAGAATAGTCTGGTGATGCATTTCAAGGGCTGCAGAAGACCCTGTGGCGTTGGTAAATAATCAGTCAAATTTTTCCCTGTCATTTCTCTAAAAGGCAAGCCCATTCCTGCTGCCTTTGGCGTATGGTTGATGCTGGCACAGGTTAGCACAGGGCTCAAATGGAAAAGAAGCTGTAAATGCAAAGCAGAAGGTCCTTCCTGCAAACGGAATTACAAGCACAGGGAGAGGAAAAGGAAGGTGAAGAACAACGGAGTGAAAATGCACAAGGTTTGTCACTGCTCATGGCTCACAGATATTGACCTTCTGCCCCAGCAAGGCTGTCTAAAACAGATGGGAAGGGTTTCCCTCACACCTCCCAAAGGAGGTTGCTGGCAATAGTGCTTCACTTATGCTCACCAACTCCGTGCTCAAACTCCTCCTTTGCTTACCTGGGATTTAAGTTCACATATTGGGCACCACAGTGGATGCATTAAGATTAGGCAGTGCTCCTCTGCAGCCCACCCATTTTGTTGGGCATAAAGAGCTACGATGACAGATAAAGAGGGTGAATGACTTTGCAGCCTGATGAATCAAATCTTTCCCAGACCGATCTTGCTTCCAAACTCTGAATCAGTGAGAGGAAGCATTTCACGCCAAGGGGAACAACTTGGAAGCTGAGAGTGAGCTTTCCCTTGCTGCTTCTGGGTTTCCTTGCAGCTAGCCATTCACCTGGTGAAATGCAGAGCTAGGTCAAATCCTTGCTTTGAACCAAGCACAGGAGAAGAATTGGTGGTACTGTTGGGGCTTCTCCGGCATCTTCTGTGTGAGTCCTAATCCAGGTCTGAAAGCACTCACCAGAGCAGCACCAGCACCAAACACAAAGAGGGTCTTTGCCTCCGAGAACCTCATGGAGATTTCAATGGGAACCTTGTTCCTGGGGTGTCAGGGCGTAAGGGCTTCAGTGCAAGGAACATGGGGAAATTTTAAGCACACTCTTGGTTTCTCTGGATTTGGGGAATTAGAGAGCTGCTAAGAGAGGATTTTGATGATCTTATGGCACATCGGTGTTGTATTCTAACTGCTAATGATATGGTTGCAGTGTAACACAGCCATAACAAAGATGGCTTGCACCTGGCTAGCCTGGGGTCTCAGCACTTTAATTCCAGGACCATGGTGCTCATTATGACTATCTTCACAATATCTACCTATCCTCTCAGGTTTTGCAGGCTGGGTAGCCATGGCTACACTGTGACAGCATCTAAGCTAGATCACTGAAAACCCATGACTGCACGTCTACCCTTCATGGCAGTTGTATCAGGGTATCTCATGCCCTTTATTGACTTCAGTCCTCTACGCTTTTCTCAGTCTCCCACATGGAGAAATACTCTGGAAGCATCGAGCTCAGATGATAACAGGTATAGCTCTGGGGAAGGTTACAGCATGGAACAACTGCCCTCTCAGAACTGAGAAAGGAACTGGATGTCCAGATCTGCAACCTCTCCTCCTGGGCTCAGTGTCGTTCGTTTGCGGTGAATCACAGATGCTTAAGGCAAGCAAACAAGCAAGCAAAACAAACCCCAAACCCACCAAGTTAAAGATGCTTCCCTTCAATGAACTATATTTCATTATGAAGAAAAAGAAGTCCAGGTGCTGTTAGATAAGGTGGATAAGTTTTGATCTCTGAACTCCAAAAGAGGAACCCACCTTCCTTTCCACGTACATGCATTGGTGACCCAGACTCTCCTTCATGAGGACAGCGCTATGACATCTTACAGTAGGATGACAGCAGCCCAATTACTAAGCGTACACGTGAGCTGGGCAGGGATTTCCCAACCCCAGTGTAAAACCGGTGCAACCCTATTTGATGCAGTTGGGTGGGACACAAACGCGAGCATCCTCATCCTTGTGTTGTCTGTCTCCTGACTGAGTTTGGGATTGCAGGGAAGGTCTCAAATGCAGGGCCTGGGAGCACGAGCTGCCTATGATGCTCTGTGAGCCGCCAGCCTGGCATGTCTGAGCAGGGTTTGGTTCCACACCTCTCCTTCACCCCTCCGCCAAGAAAAGGAAAGGAAAAAAAATAACTATTCCCTTGATTTTAACAGGATCTATGTGCATTCATCAAATAGGGATTGCCCCTATATGGAAACTAATAGGTCTTCAGAAAAGAGGTAAAATACACATGCACATCTTAAAGATCTAACAATGCCTTCATCATAGGATGAAAGCTCCTTGCAAAAGCTGAAGAAGAAATCAATTTAATAGCTCCTTCACTCCTTCCTGACTCCTGGAGTGCCAGTTACGTGCTGAGACAACCTTGTTCTGATGAAAGCAATTCTGCTTGCTGCTGTGACGCTAATTTTTTCATCTGGAGAGTGGCTCCTTATGGCAGGTCTGATTCAATTAAGGATTACAGGGTTCTACATCTCCCTTTCCTGGCAGTGTGTGCTAAGCAAGTGCAAATGAATTACAGACCAATTGTTTTCCCCTGATCCCTGATGATCCTGGGTGCATTAATGCACCAAGATCTATGGGCAAACTTAAAAAGAATGAAAAACGCAGCCATGCTCTGCTTTTGGCATCTGTACCTGGTTTTTATACATGCAAATTGAGTTTCCTGTTCATTGAAAACAACCAAACAAAATACGATGTCATGAACACAGCGCAGAGAAGGGCACTCATGCTGTTCCTTCTCAGTGACCTGCTTTTCCAGAGGGCACCCAAGGGTGCTTGGAAAGCTTTTGCTAACAAGGAGGGTGGGCGATTAGCAGAACACCCTGCAGCACTGGGGCATCCTCCGAGGGGCTTTCCTGGTGCTGCAGCTTCATCTTCACACGTGTAAAACCCAGAGGCAGGGGCCGTGTGCTGGCATCTCCCCTTCCCGCTCCTCTTCCTCCTGTCCCTTCTCCCCGTGTCCCCAACTCTCTCTTCGGTGCCTTATCACCACCTCTTATCAACGGGACTTTTGGCACATTCTTATGTTTGGCTTTTTTTTTTTCTCTTCCCCCCCCCCTTGCTTCTTGGCTCCCTCTGTCCTTTACTGGCTCATTTTTTAAAAAGTGCAATGTATCTGTTTCAGAGATGCCGGTTCTGGTAAAGCCACCGAGGACTCGGGCTTTCCCCTCCCTTGCCCCCTACTTCATTATTTAAGACACATCAGGATCTCCCAGGCTCTCCTCAAGTGACCGGGACCTTTACTCATAGTTATCAACCCCTGAGGGCTTGAAACGTAAGAGTGAAAGGTCTGAAAAGAGGGAGAAGAAAAGTATTTCTCTGCCTCTTGGCTTGTCTGATCTTGTTCTGGATGCCAGTGGCTTTTCCAGTTTTGTGTCCTCTGTTGGCTCATGAGGAGCGTGTCATTTCACAAGGATTTGTCATCGTATCGCTGATTCCTGGGGATCCTTCTGTCTCTCAGTTTCTCTCTTGGATGCTCAGTGCTTGGAGAGCATCTCCCCATCACACCAGAGAGAATTCGGCCTGGAAGCCAGAGCACCGGCGTGTCTTTGGTGAGCACTTGGTCAGCATGGAGATCTGGGTGCTGAAGTTGGTGCCGTTGCTGCCTAAGGAAGGGTGGTGATACTTCATGTCCGAGCCCAGGAACCGCTCTAGATGCCACCTCCGCCACTTTCGCTTGAGCTCAGCTTGGACCTAGGAAGAAGAAAGACAAGAAAGTCAGCGGAGAGGAGAATTTTCTATTGTTCTGACTTGATTGTGTGAGCAGCCATAGGTGACCCACCTACCAAAGGGCCAAGAATTATTTTATAAAGGTCATTAAACTCAACCTGGTCAGAACTTTTAGCCACATAGAAGAGAGGTGACACTCTGGACAGTAAACTACTAGAGCAGAAATCCCTGAGCTTCACCAGAAAGGTGAGCACAGGAAATTTCTTATCCGATACCACAAAGGTGTGAGACTACTTACTGTTAATGGCAACATATTCTATACTTTGTGATTATAATTAAGATTTTTTTTTTACACTGCTGTGTTTTTGCCCAAATAAAAATGATTTAACTATAGCTTGTTTGTAAAGCTGTCAATACAGTTGTGCTTTTTGACAGAAGCTACTTGTTCCTGCTCAGGGAGTTTACAGACATCATCTGGTTTACACTGTCCAGATTCAAATCCTGAACAAATCTGGCCACCATCCCTGTCCCCTCCTGCAGCCTTCCAGTCCAAATTTTTAGATAACAGTATAAATTAGATAAAACAGCTGTGTCTGAGGGGCTCTGGGATCAGCAAGCACAGGAACAGTACAATACCAGGATGCAAACCCCAGGACTGGAAACGTGGGAAAGGCAAAATCGATGCCTGTAAGGTAGAAACATGTTTACCTGGCACTGGTCTGTGCCTAACAAGTCACATCAATGCCTGTATCAGTTTTGGATCATTAATAAGTTTGTGTGGTACTGGCCTGCTCTGCGAAGGCTTACTGGCAAAGGTCTCTGCTGGAGCTGGGCTATCTGCCCTGCAAGCCACTGCGTGGTGTACACATGGCATCAGCATGGCTGAAAGCAGCATCAGAGCTGTAAGAGAGCAAATTCTGATTCTGGACACTCTTCCTCTCCCTAGGAAGCTGGAACACAAACCCAGATCACAGCTGCTTCTTTCTTGTCCGTGCTCAGTTTATTGAGCTGAAAGCGCTCCAGCTGACAGCAGCTCCAAGTTTTTAGCTGCTCACACCTACTTGGTAGCCTTCGCGATATGGGTTTAATCAGTCTCTGCTGAATTTCTTACGGGCAGATGGAGCATGGTACAAAAATAACACTGCACTAACGAGCCTGCATCTTGGCAGTGGGCCTGATTCTGTGGAGGATTCATTGAGGCGCTAAGCATGACTAGGGCTTAGAAGATGGGCTTTATCCTTCCCTGCTGAAGGTGGTCCTTTTGGATCAGGGCTTATGCAAGAGTTCTGCTGGTGCTGTCTCAGGAGTGAAGGACAGACTCAGCAGCAGCAACACTACAGTGTGCACAAAAGTCCTAATATGTTTATTAATTGTGCTGGAAACTGTCAGGCAAATGGTTGACTTGTTTTTTTCTGGACTAAGTGATTTGACTTGGATGCTTCCCCCAATATGGTAACATCAGGAACGGGACACTTCTCGATCCACTCTTCACAAGCACTCAATTTGCCTTAGCTGCAAATATTAACCAAACAATACTGTTGATCTTACCTCCCCATTGAGAAAACAGTACAGAACAGCCACCACAAATCCCTAGGGGAAAGGAGAGAACAAGCTTTTAGCACCTCTCAAACTCACTGCAGCCTTGGAGAAAGGGCACGCTGCTGGGGGACTGCTAAGGTGCCCTTAGAAAACACTTGATTGAATTTTCCCTACAAAAGGAGCAGGAGAAGACTGGTTAAGGTACCTTGCAGCAGATGTATGGGTGTGAGTTCAGAGATTGCTCCAGGCTGGTGTTTAAAGCCATCAGGAGTCGGGTCAGCTCTAAGAGGGGCACTTGGTCATTCAAACTGGGGCATTAGAGGAAACTGGATGTGATACTAGACCCACCTTTCCTGCTTGGTCTTGTCAGCTGAAACTGGGGAGATCTAAACATGCTCGCTAGTACATCATCAAGATCAGAATGATCTTAGATGTGGTATAGGGCTCAACTGTTCCTTTCCCATCTCCCCTGCAGTGACAGTTCATTTTTGAGAATCTCAGCTTTCACTGAAGATAACCCCCCAAACTTATCCTAGCCCTTATGGTTGCAAATTCTAAAGAAAATGGAATGACTGTAGATCCATTTATCTCTCAAAGGAGAGATGCCAGATGTGAAGTGATGGTGATGTAGACAGGGACTTTAACTCATTCACCACTGAACGAAGCATGCCACTGACGTGTGTATGGTACATGGTGACAGAGAGATCCTGCTTGCAGGCTGTGAGAACACAAAGTGGCTAGAGATGATTAATGCAGGGATGCAGTGGGATAAAATACATAAATAAATGCTTCTTTTCATGCAAGGGTAGGGCCAAGTTTAACAGCCCAACACTGGAACTGAGTGAAGTGAAGTGTGTGGAGGGGTCTAAGAAGCAAACTTCATCAGGGCTTCCTAAAGATTAATGCAGAGGACAGTCCCATTATCCATCCTCATGGGGAACATGCCTCCTGTGCCAATGAAATGGAATCCTGCTTGAGCAGGATCTACAGGCAGGATTTGGCTTATTAACAGAGGAGAAAGTTCATGCAAGTCAACCGGTTGAAGATAGACTAGGCTCCTGGTAATGGCCAGAAAGACACTCCTCCCAAACGTGATTTATCTCATCTCACACCATGTCAATAATACTTAAACTGAACTGAGGTGCTCATTTTTCTCCCTTGAGTACAAAAAAAGCATGGGGAGACTAACTTATAGAGTTACATTTTCTTTTCAGGTGCCTAAAATGAGAAGAGAGAATCTCCTTCTGGAATTCCAGGAGGCAAAACATAAAATTATCTTCCATCCTGGCCAACCTGGAGTGAGTAGCTTTTTCCTCAAAGGTATAAGAGCAGTATTGGGCATGTCCAGGAAAAACCCAGCTCACACGTTTGCTTATTCCCTTGCCAAGCTTGTTACACTTCTCCCTGCCGACAGACCTGGTGACTGACTGATGGCCCAAAGGGTGGCTTACCTGGAACGACCCAACCACGAGCTCAAAGACCAGCTTAACTTCTGCTTTGAAATTGTCAGGGAAGAAAGCAAACATGATGTAGTGAATGCCAAAGAGAGGGATCAGCAGCAAGGTAGACTTGGCCAGCCTCCTGTTGGAAAGACAAACATGAGTCATAAGGGGAGAGGGAAGAGGAGCTAAAGGGTGAGCTGATGAGAAATCCTGCAGCTGAGCCCTATGCAACCCTGAAACTTTAATTTGCTGCAGTACATATTTGCTGATGACCTGGATCATGATGGTGTAGCCTGTGTCATGCATGTTAAGTGCCTTTGTTTGCCCTTAGGAGCTGTGATATAGGCCGCTTACCCTGAGGTCCTGGGAACATCCAGCCTTTCAACAGCAGCCTTGAGCGAGGCAGCATCAGGAGGCTGCCGTTGCCCAGAGGGAAGAAATGTCTGGGGTACAGCGAAACAGAGGGTGTTGAGATAGCTCCTCACAGCCTAACCTCCCCAGGATCCCTCTGACGACCTGGGCTGGGGTGCAATGACATGTGGAGGTGGACCCTCAGCTGGGCACAGTCACTGTACGTCAGTTCAGACTAACCAAGGACTATGCTGGGAGCATTTCCACAGGCTTGCTTTCCTCCTCGTTAACAGCTCCCTTATAAATATATACGTGCCTCCAGCTAAGGCAGAGTGATCAGCCCTAGATTATTTCTCCTTGGCCCGCAGATTGCAGATGGCTGGTGATTTCAGATGTGGTGACAACATAAAATGTGACATCTTTATTCCTAGTAACTTCAATGGAGGTATTTCTTTCTCCCTTCTCTCTTCTTCCCCTCCCACCGGAGATCTTTTTACATCTCTACAAGCTAAATCATCATCTAGTGCTGTCTTTGTTTGCTTGGGATGTCTGAAAATTACAGCTTCTGGGAGACAAATGGTATGTTTAGCTCAGAATAATGACAGGCTATCGCACAATGAACATCTCCAAAGGAGGGGGATGAACAGTACTAGTGCTTAATGGCATCAGGCCGGGTAATCAGAGGTCTAATTAGGAAGAGATGATAATTTATTAAATATAATCATTATTAAAACATAGCTGATGGAAATAAAATGAAATCAAGGGCCTAACGATGCTTATGGAGGTTGTGGCTCCCTTGGTCACCCACATCCTCCTGTGTCCTCCTTTCCCAGAGGCTTCTGGAGGAATTGAAGCTACAGCTGGGATGTTGGAAATACTTGTTCTTCCATCTGCAAACTCTTCACCTCCAAAGTCTCATCAGGCTCAGTCCCCTCAGACCATCTTCATTTCTTTGCCATCTGCATAAGCCCACTGGGAAGTCTGATGTGCCAGCTTTATGCAGCTGATGCTCATCACTGCATCTCCCAGCAGACCCTTCCAGTTTTCCCTGGGCCTGGCCCAAAGACAGCTTGATATTAAGGCTGTGGTTAGAGGCTGCGGTTCCCAGGGACTACCTGCTGGCTGAAAGGCAGCTGGGTCCAACTCATTCCAGGCAAAATGACTGCCTGTAGGAAGCTGAGGAATTATCCAGGAATTTGCCTTTCCCACCACGTGCCTCACTAGCAGGCACATCCTTGCTCATAGTGAGTAGATCCAAAATCTGAGTCCTCTTGGATGTCTTGCTCTGCCAGAGGACTGTCACTGTCATTGGTGACCATCCGAGTACCATGTTCCTCGCTCTTAGAAGCAGGTCTGGCAGTGTGACCTGCACTAGTATGTCCCAGCCCTAATTCCCCCAGCTCCTGACATACAAGAAAGCAACTCATTTTTCTGAGCAGATCATAGTTCAGTAAATATCAATATTGGCTTTGCAGAGATATCTCCTCTCTCCCCAGTCTTTCAGGAACAGTCAACCTAGACGAGATCGATGCGATGCTACCTTTGTGTACTGTATTCATAGAGACACTGCTTGCAACCTCCAGTGGATTCGAAAATTTTATCTTATCATTGCAGACAACACTGGGGCCTCAGTTATAGCATTTTCCCTGCTGTCTGGACTGTGGCAATGAAAAAGGCATAAATGCCAAACCTTAGGAGCCCCCTCCTCCAGTTTGCACAACACCCCAAACCAGTCTCTTGCTCCCAGCACTGAGCTTCTCCAGAATATTGAGTGATGTTTTAGATCTCAGTTTGGCTTCAAGGCAAAGGCCCAATGGTCTAGCCCTGTGCTATTTAAAAGACAACCCCCCCCCAAAAAAAACCCCACTGCAATGAGGAAGACCATCTTCCCTAGTCATAGTATAATTTTCCCCAGGTAGCTAAAGCCTGGCTGTGCAGCAGGCAGAACTGCTTGGGAGGTTGTCCAAAGCTGGTTAAAGCTACCTGCTGGAAACCATGGTTTCTCAAAAACCTCATTACTTCCACTCGCAGCACAAGGTACACTTCTTAGACCTATCCTCTCTGACAGATATACACGGTGACAGGTAATTTAGGGAAAACACATCTCCACTAGCCTGCACTGAACCTACTCCTCTCCTTGGGAGTGGGTAAGAGTGAACCAACATTTTAGTCATGCTCCTTGAACACATAACGGAAAAGTTACCCAGAAAACTTTGATGATAATATTGATCTATGAACATGTACAGAACAGAAAGAGATTAATTTTGCTCAAGATTTCTGTTGCAGAAAACAACTTCTATTTGCCTGAAATATTGCTGTACCATTCTTGCACATGTCTTTGTCATTTCCAGAAAACTGTTTTGGGAGACTTGTTTTCATAGTTTCCAATACATTAAAGCCCAGTTCACTGTCTGTAGCATTAATGAGTGAGTCAGCAGCATACCTGAACTTCCAGCCTGCAGCTAAATTGAAACTGGTTGGAATTGAACAATACTGTCAACATGTCAACATGTTATTTTTTTTTATAAAATAAACAAGAGAAGGAGGGAGAAATGCAAATGAGAGAGCCCTGATGTTGTTAGTTTAAAACGTATTTATCTCGGATTTGGCAGGAGGAACCCACACATATCATTAACAGCAGTTTCTTCCTAAGATCTCTTGGGTCCTGCAGGCAAAACTCCTGAAGCTAGCAGCAACATTCCAGGTAATAGGAGAATGACATGTAAAAGGATCCAGGAACCTACAATTGCAGATCACGTGCCTCATGGCATTTTAAAAAAGGTCTGGACCCCAGATGTCTCTACAGATAGCTGTCTAAACATTAAAAACTTAGGACCACATGAGAACTCCCCTTGGTGGGATCCAGCCTTCAGGTTCGGACACTTAATACTCATTTCCATAGGAAAGTGTGGTGTCTCATGTCCCACTGCAGTCAATACAGTCAATGGAGACTTCCAGATGCCCCAGAGAATCTGTCTGGTGGCCAGCTACCGCTGTATAAGGGTACAAGTCTCCCATAGGTCCGGGGTCCTACGTGTCGGGTGCAGGCAAGTATCTCAATGTCCTAAAGCATCTCATATGGCTTGGATGCCTAAAAGTGAGCAACTGATTCATGCCCTAATGGAACGGAGATGTTTTTCCAGGTGGAGAAGGAAGGTGAGGAACCATAGACGTGAAGATCATTTGAACTTCAGCAGTACCTCCTCTTTGGCAGGCCAGTGTGGGGAAGTCCATGTTACTTACTGCCCGGCTATGCTACATTTATTTACAAGGCAAAGAGCTTTCCTGGCAGCTCCCACTTCATTGGAAAATGTGAAGTAAAGAGCCCTGAACCGAAAGCTCAGGATGACCTCTGAAGTAATCTCGGCATAACCCTTCCGATGCGTGTTGGCAGCACTTATACTGAGATGAATGTGAGCCAACTGCTCCAGGATGCTGCTTAGTACTAGGACATATTTCAATATGCTGATTTAATCTATGTACCTGGCCAAAGCTGTTGCAATCCTGGGGGTACAAAGATACAATGCCCAATTAGAGATACATAAAGGGAGGTGACAGAAAGTACGGGGTCTGGTAATGTTGGTGTGTTGTGATGAAAGAAAAAGACGTAATTGGCTTTGGCTGCTGCAGGGAGAAGTTAAGGTCAAATACTGGAATTTCCTTTCATAAATCTGAGAATTTCTCGAGGCAGATGAATGCATAATTTACAAACACTCGAGAGAAAGACTCAGTGTCATGGCGGGTCTTCAGGGTACCTAAGTGCAGAGCTCCCTCCGAAGACAGAGAAGATTTATGAACAGTGACCACGTAGACAGTGGACTTCTTTCTTTTCAGTTCTTTTCTAGGACTGTTTCTAGGAAACATTTAATAAATATCCAGGATATTTGAAATGCTGAGCCAGGACAGTGGCAAGAGTCAAAAATAAGCTGGTCTGAACTTTTATTTTATTTGCACTGAAGCCAAAATAAATCCATGCAGATAGACAGATTTCTTGCACTCTTAAAATACAGCAACTAAGATCAGTCTTAGCCACTGAGACAGATGCTGATCTCACTTGTATGTTGTTCATGATAAAAAGCCCCATTAAGGTCAACCTTATATCCCTGGAATAAAAGCATTACATCAAGCAAAGCTTCTGAGACAGTGCTACCTCTCATCAGTGAAGAGAAAGGCATTGAATTAATCCAATCTAGTTTAGGGGTCTACTTTAGGATAAGGAAAATTTGCCACAGATTCTACTGAATGTACTAATTTTCTAGATCTCTCCTTTGAAAAAGGGAGCTAAGGGTAACTAGTTCAGAAAAAAAGCCCATATCCTGTGAACAGCTACTCTTTGTTCTCCATCAGGGTCCCTCTGCCTTCAGAATCCAATAAATATTGAATATACAAAGAAAAAGCTTATTTTTTTTCCATGATCATTACTGTTGCTCTCACTTCTTCATCATTAATCCCAGGAGAAGGCCTTCTCACCTGTCTGTTCAAACTGACATAAAACATGCCCAGCTCTTTTAGCAAATGCCCCATTACCTGATTTCTGATTGATTGGCTTTAATCAGTTAACAAATACTTGATTCTGATTAGTGCAGACAGATGCAATAACGAACTAACAGCCAAACAGGTTTCCGCAAACCCATACGATACAGTTGAAAAAGTCTAGGACTTACGAATACTGGCTGGTTTCATTGTGTCCAATGTCTGGGGAATGCAACTTCTGGACTAAGATACGGATGATGCAAATGAAGAGAATGAAGTTCACCTGTTGGGATGGGGAGAAAGGAAACAGAGAGAAATTAAAAAATTAGTATTTTTCTCCGGTGAAGAGAGCCCATCACTAGAGGGGAATTCCTTTCACTGCAATACTTTTGCCATGGAGCAAGCTGTTGTTAAAAAGCCATGAGCAGAGAACCCCGCTCTGTGAGCACATAGTAAACCGACACAGGATGGCAGCCATCTTGGGCCTGACATCAGCCTGCTTGGGACTTTGTGTCATACATCCCAAGTATGATGATGTCAAACCCATAGAGCACAGCTATGCACGACGTCCTGCTGCGCGGGGGAGTGCCGACGACAGGGTGGGAAAAGAGCCGTGGGAGTTAGCGGAGCGACGGACGTCAAAGCCCTCGGGAGACGGTGACATGGGACCGGCTGCTGAGCATGTCAAAGACTGAGGCGGTGAGCCAAGGAAACCAAAACAAAACACAAAGCAGTATTCACTCAAGCAGGCCTCTACTCAATGCTATTGGGCATGTCTTCTCTGGAGAGAAGCTGGAGACCTTGGATAGCGAGGATAGACCTCACCGACACAGTGGAAAACATTCTTTCCTAGGACATTAGACCAGAGGAGTCTACCTAATATCTAGGTTTTAGATGGTGCTTTTCACTCAAAAAATCTCAAGGTGCTCCACCAACACACTCAAGCAATGTTAACCTTATTTAATAGCAAAGGTGTAGCGCTAGGAATGGCAATTTCCTAGTGGCGTGTAGTAGATGGCATGAATTGAATGCAAATCTCCTTGCTTTTGAGGTCCTATCCATTGAATCATGCTGTTATTCATGCAAGGTATACAATAGAAAAGCGATGACAGATTTCTGCGGACTTAGTTTAGTTTTAGTTTGGCGCACAACCTCTTTCTTGATCCTTTCATGGTTAGCGAATGCGCAAATGATTCTGATTTTTAGCGACTCAACAGCTGGAAGGGATTGTGTTAACCAGCCAATCTGATTTCCTGCAAAAACAGATTGTAAAATTTCCTCCAGCAATTCCTACATTTATCTCAACAACAGGTGAATAAAGTAGACTGAAGCACATCTCTCAATTAGACACTTACTCTTTTTTCAAAGGCTGTGAGTGATTGGAAATTAATTGTATTTCTTGGTTATGATGCATTGCTTAATCACTTTTTATCTATCCCATGCCATTTATAATAGTTTCTGTTCATATTTATTTGCTTATAAAAGTGGTTTGCGTCTGACTTGGTGGCAAGTAAAATTTATCAGTTCAAACCAGTATTATCTAGACCAATTACTCTAATGAGCATTGATAGCACACGAGCTGCAGCACTGAAGGTAAGATCAGAGCAGTTAAATACTGACTGTGTTGGCTCTTAGTAGTCAAGAGCAAACATGGACACAGGGCAGTGGTGAGTAAGGTGGAGTGTGACTTACAGGCTTAGTACAGACTTGTTATCAGGCTACTGAAGAAGTTGCTTATTTTTCAACCTAGAGTATAATGAAAGGCACCTGATCTGTTCCCAGTGTTTAATACCTAATATATCTTACATATGTTATATATCTTATATATCTTATGTATCTTATATATATATATTTCTTCCTTCTATTGAGTTCTATGCTTTATTCCCATGGCTATGGAGGAAATGTTGCATTCCTCCCTGAAGAAACTTGCTATTCATCAGATAGCGGTTATCATACCCTTCCTTTGTGACAGATTTATATGATATCAGAAATTGCTGGGTAAATTTTGTCTGGCAATGAGGAAATGATTTATTGGCCAAAAGAAAATACAGACTCATTGATCTGAGGAGAATAGGGTGTATTTCTTGACCAAAAGTTTATCTCGGGAAAGGGAAAATACTATCTATAGCTTTCTATGATGATATAAATATTTTGAGATGTGTCATCTAAGTATTGTATTTCTTTTCAGTGAGGTGAACAGAGTAAGATGTAATTATTCAAACTGTTTCAGTTTGGAATCCCTGTATGACAAATACTACAGAAAAAAAGTCTTCTTGTAAAGGTCATAATGTACGTGGAATAAGAAGAATGTATGTCTAAGAAAAGATTTCTGTTTAAAAGAGATATATTTGGTTTGATTTCTGTTGCATTCTTTTTCTTCCTTTCCCACATACTTGACTTCATTTAAGAAAACTCAAAGCTAAGTTTAACTCAAGTTCATTTGATTTCAACTTTTGGCTTGATACCTGACAGAGAAAACATGTAATATTCAACAAGGCTGGAATGACTCAAGAGTTCCTCAGAAGCGTCATGATTTCTGTGGTCAGAATTGATCATATCCAGAGAAGTAAGAAGTCAAGCACTTCTGTTGATTTATCTGGAAAGTAGCCAAGCTTCTCAAGAACTTACTTTAAAAACACACAGCTGGAATCCAACTTTGTGCTGGACGCTATAACAAGAGGCAAATATCTGCGGGAATTCATCTAACCTCTTCTTACCTAGGTAGAAATTTATGGTAGGACTCATCCCATTTTAACTTACAGTGTTGACATCTACAACTGAACAAGTCATCCTGGGCTCCGCATATGGTCAGCTCAGAGAAACAAAATCCTTCATGGCACAATTAATCTGATCTAATTTAGACATCCACTGATTCATTAGACAAGATGAGCCTTTCCTGGATCTCTAACCACGTTCCTCAACATCCACTGGCTACACACACCCATGGCTACTGCACCAGAGTGCCCAGGGCGACTAGCTGAGATGGAGGTGGTCAGAATTAAATCAAATGAGCTCCACCTTGGTTGCTTAGTCAATCAAACTCTTCCCATGGTCAATGCTTAGAGGTAAAGATGCTTATCTGGAGGGCGAACTTCCTCATTCTAAGACAGACATTCAATACACAGTGGGATTTTATCTGTCAGTGCATTTTCCATGGACATTTACAGAACACTTCTCAACACCCCCTCACCCCCACGCTTAGTATTAAAGATGGCTTTGCAGCCAGCAGAATGTGCTGATACTTTACCAAAATAGACACCAAAATAGGAGTTTTAATGATCCACCAGAATGGGGATTCCACTACTTCCTCCCAGCACCTAAAAAGAAACAAAACCAGACTTAAAACATCAAGCAAAGCGAGCAAGGAGCTATGTAACCTTCCCAGGTACTTGGTTTCCCTAAGTGCTACAGGTAGCTATGCTAGGTTATGTGAAGAGGGCTAAACCTGGTGTGCGTGAACTGGGAAGGGCTAAAGACATGCTTTGCAGTGGCTTTGAGCACTGTCATGGATGAGGGTTTTGTTAAGCACAGAGCAATTGGCACCATCAGAAACAGAACCAACGATGCCCTTCTGAAAAAGCTGATAGACAGCCTATGGTGGGATTAGTCCGACTAAATCTAGCCAGCTGCATCTGAGCTACGGATCTAGTCCGAAATAGGGTCCATAGGGTCCAGGGCGTGATTTATTTCCCCCTGAAGTCAGAATTGTCTGCAAACCACACCACTCACCTAGGTCATCTGGAACTATATTTTAAAGCCAACAAGGAAATGACAGAATAGGAATGATGTGGAAACGACTAATATTGCTTGGGACACATTTATCTGGAGACTTTACAAGAGTCAGGTGATAGAAGGTGCATTTTTAGCAGAGCATTAATGAAAATTGGTCTGCATTCATGTAGAAATAGATTAGTGGAACCTACTGTAGACAATTTCACCTGGATTCAGCTCATCTAATTAAAAATGTTGACAGCGCAGGTAACAGTAGATGAAGAGAGGCACATTTAGGGCACAGATCCTGAGACCTATTTTAGGCATCAATTTTAGGATGAAAAGAATTGCACTCCGTGGACTACACTGACTAAATCTCCACTAGCTATAAAAGGACACTAGAACAAATTGCTCACATACAGATGCTTATACTTAGTCAGGTGCATGTTGCCCTTTCATTTAGAATTAAAGTGGCCCTAATTATGCCTAGTGTACTTCATTTTTAAAATAAATTCAGGCACTTTGAATGAAGGTCACTTTAATTTGGAGTTAGAATGTTTAAATAGGGGCTTAATGTTGTTTAACAAATCTTACATAATTAAATTTTATTTAATCTGGATTATTTTCCTGTAATTTTTCTCTGTAGGTAATTTTAGTATGCAAAAAAAATAATTGTGTGTTATTAGCATATCCTGTAAATTCACACTGTTTTATTTGGCACAAAAATGTAGAGCTTTAAAGCCTCCAGGAAATGCAAAGAAGTCTGTATTTTTATTAAGAACTGCTGGAGCTGAGTGGGAATATATAGTAAGAAGAATTGGTATTCAGACTGGTTAAATCCTTTGGTCTCTATCTCATTGTAGAGACTATTTATTAACAGAGTAAATAAGGTCAGTTTTATGCAGATAGAGTAAAACCATAAAAGAAGTCAGTAGCCCTCAGGAAATGTGTTAGCATGACTATAAATCAAAAAAGCAATGAGAAATCTGAGCTGCTTCTCTTGCTGAAATAAGGACAAATCAGGACACAGTTGAGAGGGAGAATGCATAGGAGAAAATGGAGTTAACCGTATGCTGCAAATACAAGAAGCAAGGGCATGCACAGCGAGTACATAATAAGCACCTGATTCTGTAACTCTCCGGAGTGTTTTCTCATAAAAGCTTTTCCAATTACTATAGTTTGACTGCTTGAGTAAAAGCATGAAGGAGGATTGCAGGATCAGATCCTATTTACTTGCATATATCCTTGGAAAGCTCTGATATTTGCCTCATTTACTTAGCTGTATTCTATCTGCTTCTTACATAAAATATCAAAGGCTGCTGCTAGGTTAAAGAGGATGAAGAACAGACACTAAGATCTGCCTGGGGAAAAAGAAAAAAAGAGTTTTTAGACTTTTTCTGTGGGAGAGCTAATGGGTGTGTTTACTAAGTATCTGCTGCATAAGCATATTTAGGGTCAATTCTGCAGGATGCAAAGCTCTGCTCTGAGCATGGGGCAGCTGCACAGCTGGGATCTTTGTTATATACAGGATCACAGGGCCAAATGCGACCATCAGGGTCTGCTCACAAATTCCCTGCAAATATCCTGACCAAGGGATTGGGAAACAAAGAGGGTGAGTGACCGGCCTACACTGACATAAACTTTGCGTCTTCAGGGACACCTTGAAGCATTTCCCAGTTCATGGTGGCTCTGGGGTTAGAGCGGGATGGCTGGGTTACTAAAACTGCAGGGCTTTCCTTGGAGATAAAGGAAGGAAGAATTATAAAGGAAAGATAATTGAGTCCACAGGCTTACCCAACATCGAAAAAGTAAATCCTGACAATGGTCCAAGCAGTGATAAACACGGTAGGGGCACCTGACAAGAGAAGAGACGGTGTCACTGTCAGACATCATTATCAATGTTTTCAGGGCTGTTCTCCCCCACTCTCCATCTCTCCCGAGTGACTGAGGCGATGCCTTCCCTCAAGAGTGGGCAAATCCTTCACGTTTTCAATGCTCACATGCCAAACAAGCAACACGTTGCCTTTGCCACTGGCCATGTAAGACGAGTTTCCCGTAACGGCTCCCTAGCAGACTTATCTTCCTGTTGCAGTGCCTACAAAAAAACTTCTGCTGGTGAAAAGCAAAGAATAGGAATCACTTTAGACATCTACAGTGTGGACACCTGTATCTAAGCCAGTCACCACAGGCTCTCTTTAGCATCCATGGGGAGAAGTATGTACTTCTAACACACAGGTCATCTGAACTACTTTAGATGTTTGCTTTAGGACAAGAAATATGCCCTTGGACTCCCATGACTGTATTGCCTGGATCTCCACTGACTCTAAGGGGAGCCTGGAGGGACAAATTCACATGTAGATGTCTGTAGTTGGCCAGATGAACCTGCCTCTGCTCCTCACTCCATGATCTTCTGCCTGACTGGGGTGGTCTTGTTCCATCCTTGTGGCACCTCTTTTCTCTGTCTCTTGTCTTTGGTAAGATTTACATTGGAAATACTCCACAAAGGACACGTCGCTTTGTTCTGCATTAGTCACAGTATTGTGTATTGTTCATTACTAGTGATTAGCAAGTGCGATGGTAATAAAACCAGTAAGATCTGTAATGAGTGCGTCCAAATTATTAATTCCTGCATGATCCATTTCTGATCCATCACTGATGTTTTTGCAAATGATGGATGACTGAAAGGCCAAAAGATCCTTCAAGCACCTGTCATTTTCTTGAATTGCCCTTCCTCACCCAAGCAACCTCAGAATACATTACGAGTGCAAGAGATTTCCTTTGATTTAAAATCATTAGCTTCATATGTTTTTCTTTAAAATCCGCCAGCTCTGCTGTGCTGAAAAAAGGCTATCTATGCACAAGGCAGGTTTAAAGAAGGTCTGACCTGATTAACTGCATCTGAAACAAGGCCTGCTAACATCATCTCTTCTTATGCTTATAGCACGCAGAATTGTCTCTCTTCTGCAGTGTGAACCCAAGCGTAACTCCTGTCACTTTCGATGGAAGTTACTCCACGGCTAACTGATCAAATCCTGAGTCCAGGCATACCCCTCTACATGACACAATTCTATTTTTTTCTTTCCTTTTCAAGATTCTTCCCCGCTCTAATTATTTCTCAGTTTCAGCTATCAAGAGCATGCACTAGAAAGCCATTTTGCTTACTTATACATAAATCTTCAGCTAAATGGCTTAAAGGGGAAAAGAGATCTCTGTTTCCTTTTTGGAGAAAGGAGGGAAGTTGATCTGCTAGGATTAATTTGCATAAGTTAGCAATTCAGCTCTGAGTTACTTTGTGAAGAGTTTAATTCTATCTCCCTTGGCATTTTTCTTATTTTATTTTATTTTATTTTACGCGTTTGAGACTAGATTCACACTAAAGCTGGAGAAATCACGAATGCAGTAAGCACAAGGTTATCAGCATTAGCACACAGGTGATGGGATCTCAGGATAGCTAGCTGGCCTGAATTCAGTAAGACAAGGAGAGAGTGACAGACTGCAGTGTCTGGTTCAGTCTAGGAGTCCTGCTTTGCTGGGATCCATCCTTACAGTTTAAGGTCAATGCACGATATCAACTGTGGGATCCCAGTCAGGATCAAAGGACTAAATGACTGTAAAGGTGATGAGGAGTTTCATGCCCACAGTCCTTAAAGACACTGAGGTGCTCAACTATCAATTAACCTAGCACAAACAAAGTTCTTAAATACCTTTGAAGATTTAGGCTAATGCTGTTAAACCCCTCTGGCTATCACTTGATCTTGCTCATGGTTGCACTAACAACTCTTGGCAGCAAGGTAACATGGATACTACATCTCTGCCCTGTCTGAGCCCCTAGGTTTGTGGATTAATTTGCTGTTAAAAATGCCTGTTGGGATCACCGGTTGGCATTCAGTTTTGAGAAGATGCGTACCCCAGCCAATCAAGATGTACCACCAGAAGTACTTCCTCTCTGAAAAGAAGGAGATGACCAACAGCGTGTGAAGATACAACCCCTCCACCAGGAGCCAGAAGAAGTTGGCCATGACGCAGTACTGGAAGAAAACCATCATGGCTTTGCAGCCTACCTGGAAGAGAAGAAACAAACAGTGGTGAACTGCAGCGTGTTTCCATAGTAAACACACTGACTTACCAGTAAACCTTGCTCTGCAGGTATCTTTGGGATTGCTTTTTGCAGCACCTGAAGCCCTTACGGAATGAACTCTATGATAAAAAGCCAAAAGCCCTACCAACCTTGCTTGGGGTGGACAAGCTTGACACACGTTAACCCCTGCATGGAGAGTGCAGCGTGCATCCTTGAGAAACCCAGCTCAGGTCTGGATGCCATTTGACTGTGTGAGCCTGGAGATGCACTCAAGCTTGGAAACACTGCTGAGCAGTGACAAACTGATACGCTGGACCGTGATCGCTCCCAGCGTGGTGCTGCTCTCTGTGGGTGTTGGATGTACATCTGCGGGAAGCTGGTTTAGTGGCGGAGAGGGTACCAGAAGGTCCTGCCCTGATGTGCAGTCACCAGCCTCTCTGCCAGGCGTGGGGTCATGGAGCAAACTGTTGCACTGGTTCAGAAGAACCCTCCAAAAAAGGTGCTACTTTGAACTGAGACCAACTCAGCCACTGGTTTCTGGTACGGCCAACGCACAATTGGTTCACCATGATGGAAGTGATCTGCACTGGAGAGTAAACAAGAATGGGTGGGAATTTCTTACGCTATTTTTGGCACTAAAGTCAGCATCTTGAGGAACGATACTCTGAGGGACTTGGGCATCATGGTTCCCCCATCATTCTCTGTGGGGCTGCCTGCTAGCATTACCTGGCTCCCTAAACTCAAAGAAATGAAGCCTCTGACTTGAACAAACTGAATCCCCAGGATTATTAAAAAAAAAAAAAAAAAGTCTGTTAATTAGCCCTTGAAAGCAAAATGCAATTGTAATCACTCCACGGCCTGGGAGATACTGCAAAAACTCAAAGAGTTTGAGACAGGGGTTTGAAGAAAGCCAAGTCTATGAAGAATTGTGAATACTCAGGAGAAGAAGGACTGGGATATATATATTTAAAATAAATAGAAGAATAAGAAAGAGAAGCAGGGTAAACACTAATGAGCAGGGACAGATTTGATTGCATTGGAAGGGGAGAGATTTGAAAAGCGAAGCAGGATTGTTTTTCTTTTGGAAATGAATAATTAAACACAGTAACTTGCTGTGTGAAGATTTCACTGCAGCACAGGTAATGGGAACAGTCACCTTAAAAAGACAAAAAAAAAAAGGGAAATTTCTCTCTGATGCTTAGGGACCAAGCCCACTGCAAAACACCTGAACGTAGAAATCAGCTGCCCAAAGAAGTATGTCAGCTCTGGCCATTGCCCCAGCATTAGACCCATCAGGTCCAGCTGCAGCTTTACAGGACATCATTGGTTGCATCATTACACACATCCATGCTGTCGAAGCGTCCTTGAGATGTTGATTTGGCAACAGCCTTGCTGCCTTTGGTGAGTCTGCTTGGGTAATACCCTGCACTTATTGGGGCAAGGGCATGAGACTGGCTGCTAGTCCTCTTTGGTTAGTGGCTCTTCCCTGGTGCTCTGCATGTGCAATATGTTGAATTTAGAGTAATAATTGATTTGCACCAGTGGCAAGCTCACACTTCCCCCCCTCCCCACTCCCTTCTCCTGCTGAGAACAGTTGCTATGAAACACACTGGTTAAAAAGAGAAGTGTGGAAAGTGTTTTCTCGATGCCACATGTTTTAGAGAGGGACTTGTCCCCACCGATCGCTCAAAATTAATTCAACCCTCCCCTCGCACCCGCCAGTATGTCACACTGGGGACCCTCATGGGCTCCTGCTAATCAATTTATATGCACATCAGCTCCCTCCTGTGAGGCAGATGGCATAAGCGGAGACTTGCTGCGGGGTGGTGATGAGGGAAGGTGGAGGCAGTTAACTCCCAGGGAGGGAAGATGACACAGAGCTGAGTTGACAAGGGCTGGGGATGCAGCAGCGTCTTCCCTATGGCATCCCTATGCTCTTTGTTTCTCCCTGCTATTGTGTGCATATGGCTGCGTGACATCGGCACACCTCATTTCTTTTGCCCAAAGCTTGAGCGCCTGCTTGGCATGGCTGCAGCCAGCAGGGATTTGTTGGTGTGAGCGTACTCAGCCCTGTTGGGGCTACTGAATTTGTCTACGGTTTCACTCTATCAGTATTCGGCCCTAACTCAGCAGCTCACAGGTGAGACACAAGGTGTAAGGGAGCAGTTTTGATGCATCTCGACCACGTGCTTTGGATTTACTTTGGGGGTTGAACATTGGGGAATCCTTTCTGGGTGGCTGCATTGAAGCTATGGCAGAGGCATGAGGCTGGAGCACATCACATGGAACTGCAAAACTTTACGGCACCAGGAAAGGCTGCTCACAAAAAGCTCATGTGTTTTCTGCTTAACAGAGGCTCTCAGGCAGGGATCCCCAGCCTGAGTTTGCAGAGCTACTGCTGTCACAGAAAAAAAGCCGTGTTGAACTCAGGCTACGGCAGCAGAAGCCCTAGATCTGGGTGCCCAAATCCATCACCACTTCTCCCAATATTGGCAACCATTGCTTTTGTGGTCGTCTCTGCCCCTACCTCCTTCCCTAACGTGGTGGTGGCTTGTTGCAGACCTGAGGTGGATCATGCACATGGGCAGCAGGAGGGTTTTGGTAACTTCTTCTCTGAGGGACCTGTAGCAGATCAGTTCTTTGTTCCATGCTGAGGGATATTTGGCTATTTGAGCAGGTGCTACCACCCCAGGCATTTTTTGTTTTACCTGAAGAAAAGATATTTTTATGCATCATTTTGAGCACCTGGCAATAATGTATTGCAGCCACAGATCCCCTGCGGCATGGGGATGTCCTGCACTGGAACAGATCTGGGTGCACTGTCCTGTCTTAAAAATGAAATCATGGTATTTTCTTGCTACCTGGGCTTCTTGATACTGTTGCCTAAGCTGGGTAAGTTTAAAACAGACCAGATACTTCTATGAGAGATGCAGTTTCACTGTTGACTGTAGTGTTGTTCTTCCACTGAATCCTTTTTGACAGCCAACTCGGCAACACATTTGTAAAACAGCCCTTCCTGGCTTTTGAGAGAGCTTAGTACATGGCAGCACTTGGTAATGGGTCTCTACCTTCCTGATCGATTGGATTCAGCCTCAGAATGGCTGTTATAATGCTGGGAAATAAAAACCACATTTATATAAGATGCTTTACCCTTTAGATGACAGACACTAGGCAGAGATGAGCTATTACATCTCACAGAAGACTTTTTTCATAAAGAGCAGACCTCATGATGTGTCAGTGTTGAAAGACTAACACTGGCTATGTTTAGAAAAGACATTTTCAGCAGGAAACACAGCATTACAGCACTGCTTTTTTCTATTCTCTCCCCTTCCACTATCTCATTTACAACAGTTTATTTCCCTCTCTTTCTTCAGGGATCTTGCTCTGCTCATGTCCACATGATGCGTTGCAGTGAGATGGTCTTCCTTGGCTTTGCAGATGGCACATCTACCCAAGTAGATCCTCTCTGCTTCCCCTCTTTGGGACTGCATTAGACATGGGCCCTTTACTTTTCCAATGAAGGTCAGTGACTCCCCACTGAGACAGATTCTGCCTCCAGCCAATGAAGCATAGAATCCTCTTCAACCCCAGCAAACACTTTTGTGCTTTGCTTTAAATTCCTCATAATCAGTAAGAAAATTTAATCTTGATTATTGTAGAAGTTCACTTGAGGATGAGACGAGGCATGTCTTGGACCTACTGTATGGGCCAACCCTTCCTTGCCTTCATGTGCCCAACCATCTATGCTGTACACATCTACATTAACGACTGTTTAATTGAGGACTATCTGAAAAGGAGACACTGTGCAGGAGTCAGCTGCTTAAAAGTAGACTACTAGTCTCATTTTAGGCACTGCCAAGTATTGTGTTGGGCTTCCAGCTGTTGCTCCAGAAGCATGGAGATTTCCTGTGCAGACCTTTGGGATATTCACAGAGATTTTAAGGGGTATGAGATGCCCATGCTCAGATGGCAGAAGTCTGCCCTTTATGGAGAAGCCTTGCTGAAATAAGCAGACATGGAAAAAAAAGTACATATTGCACTGTACTACTGCCCTGAAAGGCTGGTTTCCTCAAATGTAAACAAAGCTTTGAAATAATTCCTATTATTTTGTATTTTAGATGGATATTCACACCTGTATGAAGTGCATGCAAAATACTATCTTGCTGGTCATGGAGTGTTTAGCATCCCCTGAACACGTGTGTGAATGCCTACCTTCTGGATCGGAACCAGGCCTATGGCTCTCAAAGAAATTACTTCATTTCCAAATGACCGGCATTTATTGACCTCTGAAACAGAGCTGCCCTGAGCGTACACCTATTTATTGCCTAACAAGGCAATAGAGAAGGGCAGAAGAAACCGCATTTGCTTTGAAAGAGAAGGGTACTTCCTGCAGTCATTTTAGGGCAAATATTTAATGAGCTGTTGATACTTAGGAATGTACACTGTCCTTTCAATAAGGAGATGGATGAGTAGGGACGAAGCATGTTGTTGGTTAGAAAGTTGGTGTGGTGTTGAAATGTGCTTAGTTGAGAAGCTGGGCAAGAATTTTAGGGTGTCAATAGTGGGTCAAGTTCAGAGCTTTATGGAATGGTGGGAAAAATAACAGAGCTACCCGCAGCCACCATGCAGCACAGCATATGTGTGCTACTGCTGCTGTGAAAAACACAGCCCACTTTGTCAGATCATAAGAAGAATGCACTCAAGATGCAACCAGACTTTCTGAGAAAGAGGCAAAGAGAAGGGACATAAGGGTGGGAAAAACAAGACTGAGCAATAACCCTACCAGGCTTCTTCCCTGTGCCTAACAGCACCTTATATTTTCAAATAATGTTAGCCCGGAGAAAAACATCTTTCTCCTAAAACTGATGTAGTGACCAGCTGACCCATCCAGAAAAATGCAATTCAGGTGCTGAAGGCAGTAATTAACTCAGAGGTGAATCTGGCATTATATTAAATACACATACGTCATACTCCTCAGTAATA